GAAGCTTTGACAACTTCTTTTCGTGCTCAATTTTCAACCCTTCCCTAGCCTGAAAGTTCATTCATATCTCCAATAATAAGTGAACCCAAATCCTACGAGAAATGAAAAACAAGAAAAGAAACTGATTGAATAAAGAGTAGAGACCTTGACTTCCTCATAGAGTTTCTTTTCCCATGCCAAGAGGCGGTCTAGACTGGAAGATAGGCTCTTGGGGCCTCCCGGTTGGTCCAATGCGGTTGTGTCAAGTCTGTACTTGACTTCCAATGGCGGCTTTGAGGTCCAGGTTGAGCTCAGGTTGCTCAATACACTACTCGAATGAATCACCGTCTCTAAAACACGAAATTCACAATGCAAAATCAAATCAGCTTCCAAATTGCGTTCACAACTGAACTAATTCAAAGCTATCAAGCGAGATATAGATGAATGAATCAAACTGACTCTTCAATTGGCTGAAACTGCGATCAAGCTGAGCCCTGCCAAGATGGAGCATCTGAGAAACTTGGTCACCGGCAGAGGCAGCCTTGTCGAAATTCTCCTTGATAGCATCAACAATCTCTTTCAAATCTCTATGCCTCACCACCATCTCTCCTCCGCCTCTGTAGCTGCCAGAAGACGTCGTCGCATCATCTGGTTTGCTATACTTCTCTTGTGCAACACTTGCATACTCCTGCGGCATTGGTTGGGGCGGCTTCTGGTGGTACTCCCGTCTCATCGAACTAGTCCTCACAGAAGATCCGAAGTCGGAACGAGTCCCAATCTCAGACACTGATTCTCTATCCTCCTCTTCGTCCTCCTCCTCCTCCACGGCGTCGGATGAGCTCGTCGTGCTGTAATGATCGTGATCGTCCCATTCGCTACACTGAACTTCCTCTCTCTCAGTCTCCTCTTCCTCTTCCACCGCACTATTCATAGACTCGAACTGCTTCTGCTTCTTCATATGGAAAAAATCATGCTCCGATCTTTCTGTTTCAGTATCATCTCCATCACCCAGATCGCCGTAACGGTTTTGTTGTTGTTGTCTCTCTTGGGATTTCCGGTTAAAGAATTCAGAATCAGGAGGTGAAGGAGGGTAGAAGTTTTCCCAATTCCACACAGATGAAGCTTGAGAAGGAGTGGCTGAGTACGTAGAGTTCTGGTAAGCAGTAGGGAAGAAACTCGGCATGAAATTGGATCTCTCACTAGACGAAGGACTCGAGAGAATATGAGGCAACTTAGGTTGCTGTTGCTGTTTCCGGCGCCGATTAGATGATGCTGTAAGAATTGGAGGTAGTTTCGAGCTAGCAACGGAAGGAGACCGTGAAGGAGGAGCCGGCGGTGGAGTATAGACCGAAGAAGGAGCAGGTGACGGCGGTACAAATTTAGCAGAAGAGTGTTGTTGAGACGGCGGAGGAGGAGGAGTGTGGAGAAAAACAGCCGGAGTCTGATCCGACACAGCTAAAGGCTCACCAGCGGCGAAGGAAGAGAGAGCAGATCCAGTGAGACGAAGCGATCTACAGTAATCTGCGTGAGCTGCAGCGAGGTGATGCCGTGCGTTAACAGATTCCGTCATGAGACGGCGGCGATCTTTGCACCGCCGTACTGTATCCTCATTATCGAGCTTGGACGCTGCACATCCCATGGTTTCTCGTCTGAGTAAACTTAAAACAACGGTTAACGATAGGCGGCGCGTGGAGTCACCGCGGTAGTGTTGTGCATTATTAAATTTCAATTGAGAATCACACAAAAGGAATGGGGGAGAAAGTTCTTAGCTGTTTCCACTTGATCGGACTCTTTGACTGTACATTGCTCTATTTACTTCTCTCTCTCTTTCATTTAATTTTAAATATTATAATATAAAAGGTTCCTTTTCTATTTTATTTTTCCTAAAGTAAGTACTGATAACGAGTCAGTGACTGTCATTAACCTGGTCCTGGACTAGTGTTTATTTTTTTTTGCCATTTTGTTAAAACTAAAATATGATTTCCCACCAAGTTATAGTTTAATGCAGTATACAAATTTGGCCACTAGTAGTATAAAAGAGTTTTTAAAATTTGATAATACCATTTTATTTGTTGATTATTTTAAAATTAAAGATGGTGCGTCGGTTGACGTAGATGTAAATAATGAGAACTGAGAAGAGAAAAAACAAATATAAAAGGATGCTTTTGTGTCGTTTATTGTGGTTTGGGTAGGTAGTGGATTAAATCTGGAAAGACCAAAGTTGAAGTATTAGTCAAAAACTAGTAATATTATTAAAACGTAATTACAAATCTGAGAATGGAAAGATTTGAGTCTTTAGGGGAAATTATTAGTCGTTGGCTAAAACGGCAAGATGTCTACTCTCCGAGTTTGAAAACGGAGTAAAATGTCGATGGAAAGAGTCTTTCACACCGTTTTGTAGAAGATCCACTAAAAAAGGGGGAAACAATATGCATTTGTACAAGAGGTTAGTCAGCGACGGTGAAAAGTAAAAAACCGACGACGACATGGAAAAGGAATATTACATTTTTAGTATATTTACACATGCATTGTTCGATTTTTTTTTTTTTTTTGTTGTTGTTGTTGTTGGTAAAGTGGAGCTTGGGATGCTCCCTGGACGAGCATCTAATTCGCCTTCTAGCTTTTTTAATGGATACATGCTTTGGTTGCTTCTCCGTAAATGTAACGTGCCTACTTTTGTTTTCTTTTGGGATTTAATTAAGCAAAAACTTGAAACTATTTATATCATATTTTCACCTTGTTTTGTATTCCAGAATCACCAATTATCAAACGTATGAGACAACCAAGATGGCCAAGTAAATAATACAAACAATGTGAAGAAATCCACAAAAGATAAGAATTGATATATCGAGTGTGTGGAGAGTGGAGACGTCAACACCTTCGAAAGTGACCCAACTGAATTTTTAACAAAATTTTATTGACCCTTTAAGAAAAGCACAACTTTTTTGTATCATGCTTATCTCTTTTTGGCTGTAATCTTTTTGATTACGAATATTCTTAGGTTTTAGATTTTTGAGAGGATTCATATATAGATCTTCTTCTTGACAACGCTTTTCCGATCTGTGATGCCAATTTTATTCTCTAGGTGAATCAAGAGTGGTTAATTTGTTTTCCAAACTGTGTTAATAACGTCTGGTAATTAATTAGTGTTTATACTATAGTATTCAACGATATAAGGGGTCACTTCTACAATGATTCTTTAAAAATAAAATAAAGATTTATGCTGAAAGGAATCAATACTTGAAAAACCAAAATCATACATTATAATAAGGGATCCGAAGCAGCCATGTGGACTGTTGTCTTATAATATAGTCCAAATCGTTGCGTTGGACGTTGGTCCCTATTACAACAACAACACCACTTGATTTTGGATCGAGCCGACTATAACGGGCTTTCGATATCACCTATTTGGTCCTTGGCCCATTACTGAAACACATCGAATATAGAAGAAGAAGTAGAAGAACCCACTGCTGAGTTTTTTTATAAAGTGATGATAACGTAAACATTAGACAAAAGAGTGACAACGTATCTTCTTCACTGTTTTTGTTTTTGTTTTTTTTTTAATATTCGGATAACTAAGAATAATTAAATAAACGTTTATCACCAGTTTTGTCTTTATATAAGTGATGATGTTACAACGAAAGAAACGAACGAACGGGAATAGAGAGAGCGAAGAAAACAAAAGTGGCAACTAACAAAACGTGTCTTTGACAGTCACAGTGCGTCGACTTTATTAAACTTTAGACGTCAAGATTTTAATTAATATTTTTAAATCACATTCAGCACGTGAAAGTTATGTCATTTCCGATTTGTTTGTTATTACTGTGTTAATAGGAAAATTTGAGAGCGTATTATTATTATACTTTATTAAATCCTATAAAGAAACCAAGAATAAAATCGTATGTTTTGTTTATTGATTTGGTGGTACCTATACTCAATTCCATATATACCGGAAATATTTTTTTGTATTATGTACTTAAATTTTTTTTTTTTGTATTATCATGTACTTAATAATACACAGTGCTGTGTTAGATAACTCGTCTTCTCTAACGAATCTTGTTTTATTTCCATTAGCTTTCTTGACTTCCCACTCCTGTGTTGCTGCACGTTTCAAGTATTTTATGAAAACAACTCTTCTCTTCTCTCCTTTCTTTTTCTTTTCTTCGTGTTGAATATTGAAAACGTTACAAATTTTGACTTTAGTAAACTAATATATATGATGCTCGAGTAAAGAAAACAATTAATTATATTGTAATCCAGAAAAAAACTATTATAAGTATGTTTTTAGCAGTCAACAGGTAGTTGATTTTTACATCCAAAGATATGAGCATTTGAGTTAAGTTAGCCAATATCTTTAGTTTTTATATTTATAACCAAAATTAAGTGGCATGGCATGTCTTAACCAAGGATCATGACCCTAAACAAGTTAAATTGGTCCAAAAAAATAAGTAAAATTCCAAATCGTTTAAATTGATTTGTTGGTTTTTAATACCTCTCGACTCTTCTTGCCTTCTTGGTGATTAATCGGTATTAGAAAATTACTGTATTGAAAGAATAATATCAATTCAATCACTTTTAGAAAATTCGTCATAATTAAACACATATTATCGTAGAGCTAAATGATAAACAAATGTTAACCTACTACTTTCTTAAACTAAATAAACTACATATTTTGGTAAATATAACATCAATCTTCTGGATTCTATAGATTTGAAATGACAACAAGTACAAATATAGAAAAATAAAGAAAGACCAACGACCAATTTCTAGTCCCAAACAAACTAATATATTCTTGTCGCTGTCCTATTTATTAATATAGAACGAGGCAAAAAAAAAAAAAAAAAAAATGAATCTTCTAAGAACGTAACAACTGTCCCCAACGAACGACATCGTATGAGAGCTTGAAAGAACCTTCCATGGACCTTCTCAGTCCATTACCTTTATAAACCCCTCTCACGAGTATTTATATTTCTCCACTTCATTCGTTTCCCAGACAAATCAATCATAACTGTACAAACCGATAAAAAAAAGAAACACTCTCTCTTAAGTCTTAATCCACACTCTCTCATCAAGGTCATTAAACTTAAATGTCTGGTTTTAATTACAGCGACTCGGTAAGCTCATCTGAATCCGTCAGTAACGGCGTCAACTCACAGTCACAGATGTTCTTCCGTAACCCGAGTTTCAGCAACGTTATCTTAAACGATAACTGGAGCGATTTGCCGTTAAGTGTCGACGACTCACAAGACATGGCTATCTACAACACTCTCCGTGACGCCGTTAGCTCCGGCTGGACACCTGTCGTTCCTCCCGTTTCCTCTCCGGCGGAGGAGGTTTTCGTCAGAGAAGAGAAGCCTACCGCGAAAGCGAGTGGATCGCACGCGCCGAGGCAGAAGGGGATGCAGTACAGAGGGGTGAGGAGGAGGCCGTGGGGGAAGTTCGCGGCGGAGATAAGGGATCCGAAGAAGAACGGAGCTAGGGTTTGGCTCGGGACTTACGAGACGCCGGAGGACGCGGCGGTGGCTTACGACCGAGCGGCGTTTCAGCTTAGGGGATCCAAGGCTAAGCTTAACTTCCCGCATTTGATCGGCTCTTGTAAATACGAGCCGGTTAGGATTAGACCTCGCCGTCGCTCGCCGGAGCCGAATGTATCCGAACAGTTATCGCCGGAGCAGAAGACGGAGAGCAGCGTGGAAGATGGCGAGTCTAGGTTCGTAGTTCCGGAGTTGGATTTCACGGTGGATCAGTTTTGCTTCGATGGTAGTTCATTAATGGATCAATCTGAGTATAATCGGATATGATTAGTTTCATTAACTAAAGACTTAAAAATAAAAAAAAAGATTGAATAAGCAAAAATTTGATTTATCGAGTTTGCTTTGTAATATGAACCATTTGATCCATGACTTAAAGAGGTTTTGATCATGATCATATGTCATGTGATGGAAACTATATATATATATATATATGTGGAGGTTTGTTTTAATTTATTTTTTCTTTTCGATTCCATAGTGTAACAAGTTTGAAGACTTCTATGTCTTTTCTAGTGTGATATTCAATATTTCATTGACATAGAGATGATGACAATGTCACCTGACTCGATGTATGGGTTACTAAAAGAAACACATAGAGGTGCGTGCATATCTATCTATATACTATTATACTGTAATAGGAAATGGCCAAAGAGAATTTTTCAAATAATATCACTTGCGTTTTTATTAGTAACATTTTTTGTTAGAGGTGAAAGAAAATTCTTTGATATTTCTTGATACATGTCGACGTTGAAGAGGGCAATTTCTCGTTTGGATATTTTTATTTCCGCATTATTTTGGTATTGATCACAATGATCACGTTTTCTACTGTCGTTGTCTCTCATTTTTATTTGTTTTTCCTTCCTATTTTGCGCAGCCCTTAGCTTGTTGTTATGATTTAAGATATAAATGATTATTTATGTGTAACAAATATGTAATATTAAGTTTGAAGGTTTGAAAACAAAGACTGTTGAAGATGTAGTATTTTATTATTAGGATGCAGAATGTTTAGGTGAATTTTGCTTTAAGTTTGTCCAACCACACTAGCTAGGAAGCTTTGATTAACTGAAGCCAATGGGAATTGTGATTGGTTCTTAATTAATCTCTTTGGTTTCTTATTCAACAGTCATCTACTCGATCGTCAACTTCTCTAGAATGCATCATCAACATTCCGGTGAACCTTTGCTATTGACGAAACTAATTAATAACTAGGGATGGACCCGCACGTACGTGCGGGGTTCATTGCTAAACTTAAGTTTATCAGTGAGTTTACAATATTCGGATCTACATTATAAGAGATCCGAATCGAGTGTTAATCAAATTAATGATGAGTTAGAAATCAATTAAATTTGTGAACTATCACATCACATAAAACAATAGAAAACATTAAAACTTTTGAATAAAATAACTTAAATATAGATGTCAAGAGAGTCAAACCCGTTCACTATGCATGTCGTGCAACAAATTAAAATATTTTGGTCCACCCACATGAATAAATAATATGTCTTCTTGCATGTTATTAGACATAGTTAAGATATACCTTTTATTTTCTAAATTATCCGATATTCGAAATATTTAAGTACTTAGAAACTTACTTTTGCTATTTAAAATTTCATATTCATGTATCATACCCGTTATTAGATATTTGAAAGCTAAAATTGAATTGAAGTTTCCAAATTTTTTTATATCTTCTTGTTTTTGATGAGAAATAATTTAGATACTTTTTTAAAAATTACCCGTTCCCTTTTTGTACCCGTTCTTTCCCTTTAAGATAAGATCATATATATA